AAGTTTAGATTTAGGAAAGACCTGGGGTAAATACTGGTTCGGTAACAGGGTTGTTGATTTGTGAAACCAATTGCCGCGTACCATAATAGAAGTAGGATCCCTTGATAGTTTCAAGCGTAGGTTAGACATGTATGAATGAGATTGGGTAGATATAAATAGGAGCTGCCTCGTATGGGCCAATAGGAGCTGCCTCGTATGGACCAATAGGAGCTGCCTCGTATGGACCAATAGGAGCTGCCTCGTATGGACCAATAGGAGCTGCCTCGTATGGACCAATAGGAGCTGCCTCGTATGGACCAATAGGAGCTGCCTCGTATGGGCCAATAGGAGCTGCCTCGTATGGACCAATAGGAGCTGCCTCGTATGGACCAATAGGAGCTGCCTCGTATGGACCAATAGGAGCTGCCTCGTATGGACCAATAGGAGCTGCCTCGTATGGGCCAATAGTCCTTCTACAGTTACCTTCATTCTTATGTTCTAATTAACTTTGTCATCCTACGCTAGACGCGTTCTAGTTAATTTATATCATTCTATAGTACGGCGACCAAAACTGAACTGCATAATCTAAATGGGGCCTAACCAGAGCAAGATATAGCTGTATCCTATTTACATTATTACGAACATTTATGCATTCAAATTCAAATGTTTATTCAGGTAAAAATACATACATAGAAGATGAGTTACAATTATAATGTTGGATTTATAGAGAGAGTTAGTACATACAATACCTTAACCCACTAATACGCATAGCGTTTCGGGCATTGATTTGTTGGTTTTAAATTCTTTCTAATTATAACTCTCCGATGCCTTTTGCAATCCGACTTCGCAATCTCAACACCATCTAGCTGCTCGTATCTTGTAAGTCTATCATCATTACCTAGCCTCAGAACTTTACATTTGTCAGCATTAAACTGCATCTGCCAATCTTTTGACCATTTTAAAACCCTCAATATAAAACAGATTAAATTTTATTTTGTAACAATTGTGAAATTAATTGACGGAACAAGACCATTCAGCCTAGGGATGATGGCCTCGATATATAAAAATAAACTGTATTTCATATATTTGTTTTTGTATTATCTGGTAATATTTCAATGAGTTTCTCTGCCTACAAAAATCCAAAAGTCGGTTAATACCGGTATGAAAAAGTTGTCCATGTTCATACTGCATTGTGTTAAATAATACCACTTGGACCATTATCCAACGATGGATGTGAACAATCCATCGTATCTTTTGCAGTATTTGCAGTAATTACCACGAAACGTGGTAGAGGTGGGGTCCCTCGATTGTTTCAAGCGTGGGTTGGACATGTATATGAGTGCGGATTGGGTGGTAATAAATAGGAGCTGCCTCGTATAGGCCAATAGGCCTTCTGCAGTTACCTTTGTTCTTATGTTCTTATCTTCTTATCTTCTTATCTTCTTATCTTCTTATGTATTTGCTGCAACTGGGCAAAGGTCACTCAAGCAATATTGTTACTGATAAGTTCAGAGTTTCCCAACTAAACTCGTTTCACCAAAATTAAATAATATTTTTGTTTACGGGGAGAAGAAGAAAAACTTAGATACTTATCTCAACTTAAAGCTTTTAAAGTTGAGTGGCGCTTATTAAACAATGCTGGCGAATCACCCGTGATGACCTAATGCGATTAGTGCTTGACTTGAGAACTGCCTACGACTTCTCAGACATGGTTAATTGCCTCTTAACTTGTTCAGGGAAATATAACCTTTATACCTTTTATATAACGTAAAACCTTTACACTTTTGATATAAAGTAACATCTCTACGCCTTATATATAACGTAACCACTTTACACTTTTTATATAATGTAACCAGATTCTCAAGGAAACTCAAGGTTATGTATTCAACCACAATTTCTGATTTCAATTGTGGATATTCCGCATATGTGAATATATATATATATATATATATATATGGATGCGGACTGCGGATGCGGATAAGAAGGAAAGTGAAAAGCCATGCAACCTCTGAAGAGACAACTAACACAACACCTATACCCCCTATTAGACTATTTTAAGAACATAAGAACATAAGAACAAAGGTAACTGCAGAAGGCCTATTGGCCCATACGAGGCAGCTCCTATTCTATAACCACCCAATCCCACTCATATACTTGTCCAACCCGTGCTTGAAACAATCGAGGGACCCCACCTCCACAATGTTACGCGGCAATTGGTTCCACAAATCAACAACCCTGTTACTGAACCAGTATTTACCCAAGTCTTTCCTAAATCTAAACTTATCCAATTTATATCCATTGTTTCGTGTTCTGTCCTGTGTTGATACTTTTAATACCCTATTAATATCCCCCCGGTTATGTCCATTCATCCACTTGTAAACCTCTATCATGTCACCCCTAACTCTTCGCCTTTCCAGTGAATGCAACTTAAGCTTTGTTAATCTTTCTTCATATGAAAGATTTCTAATTTGGGGAATTAACTTAGTCATCCTACGCTGGACACGTTCAAGTGAATTTATATCCATTCTATAATATGGCGACCAAAACTGAACTGCATAATCTAAATGGGGCCTAACTAGAGCAAGATATAGCTTGAGAACCACACCAGGTGTCTTGTTACTAACGCTGCGATTAATAAATCCAAGTGTCCGATTTGCCTTATTACGAACATTTATGCATTGATCCTTTTGTTTTAAATTCTTACTAATCATAACTCCCAGATCCCTTTCGCAATCCGACTTCGCAATCACAACACCATCTAGCTCGTATCTTGTAACTCTATCATCATTACCTAACCTCAGAACTTTACATTTATCAGCATTAAACTGCATCTGCCAATCCTTTGACCATTTCAAAACCCTATCTAGATCAACTTGAAGTGATAGTGAGTCCTCCTCCGAATTAATTTCCCTACCGATTTTCGTATCATCGGCAAATTTGCAAATGTTGCTACTCAAACCTGAATCTAAATCATTTATATATATTATAAACAACAGAGGTCCCAGGACAGAGCCTTGAGGCACTCCACTTACAACATTTTCCCACTCTGACTTGATTCCATTTATACTAACTCTCTGTTTCCTTTGGTATAGCCATGCCCTAATCCAGCTTAATATAGCACCCCCAATACCATGAGACTCTATTTTTTTTTTTACAGGAACTTCTTTTCCACAGCTCATAAAACAGAGGAAAGGGTCCTGAAAGATATTGTTAATAGAAACGTTATCCCTACAGACAAAAATCAGAGGATACAACTGACGATTTACTATAAAACCAGAAAAACGGCCAGCCTACTCATGAGAAACTCTCCAGACACGAAACAGAACGCTTTAAAAGAGACTAACGTCGTCTATGCCTTCAAATGCCCACTTGGGGACTGTAAGCTCCAAAAAACCCAGTATATAGGCAAGACAACAACATCTCTTTCTAGGCGTTTAACGATGCATAAACAACAGGGCTCCATTAAGGAACATATAATCTCTTCCCATAACCAAACCATCGCCAGAGAAATCCTAGTAAACAACACAGAAATCATCGATAGATACAGCGATAGCAGGCGGCTTGACGTTTGCGAGGCACTACACATCAAGAAGTCAACACCAGCAATCAACAGCCAATTATTGCACAACTATATTCTACCCACCTCAAGACTCCGCTCCAATATAGAAGCATCAAGAAATATGGACCAATAGGCTTTCTACAAACACTTCTATTCAATATCCATTGTTTCGTGTTCTGTCTTGTGTTGATACTTTTAATACCCTATTAATATCCTCTAATGCCACATCATCCTTCCCACCTCACTCAAATGTAATGCCACATCACCCTTCCCACCTCACTCAAAAGTAGATATAAAATCAGGGAAATGCAAGTTCTAATCAGTTGTGTATTTGTGAAGTCTTTGAAAATGTAATAAGTTTTACGAAACGCGCCCGTGTCGCGTCAGACTAGAAATAAAAATGAATTTTGGAGAAGTGATTTTTGATTTACCTCCAACAGTGAAGCATAATGTACGAAAGATTGAGAAAATTCGTGTTAGAATTATTAATCTTACTTTTTCGGTCATATTTAATAATATATATATATATATATATATATATATATATATATATATATATATATATATATATATATATATATATATATATATATATATATATATATATATATATATATATATATATATATATATATATATATATATATATATATATATATATATATATATATATATATATATATATATATATATATATATATATATATATATATATATATATATATATATTTATAAGAAAGGAGTATCACCTCTGGCTGGAAGAAGGGGGACCCATAGCCTCGGAGGAAAGCACACATAACGCATTAGAGGGAATGTTTAGGTCCCCTCCAATACAGTTTCTATGTGCTTTACTCCTACCACCCCCCTTACTTTTTTTGTGTGTGCTTCATTGTATATTTAAAGGTTACAAGATATACAATGGCTGATACAATGTGTCCTTAAAGGTTATGGATCCCTTAGAGCTGCTCCGCTTCCGGATAGGAATCGAGGACGCAGCAGGCGTTTCCCCTCTGGATCGCCACACTGAGGCGCTGAAACAAGGAACTTCCAAATGCCCCTTGCTGGGACTAGAACCCCCGCCCGCGTGATGCAAAGCTGAGTGCTGTACCACTATGCCACTACATACAAAAGAATTGGAGTCTTTATTACCTCATTCAACTCTCCCATGCTTGTGTTGGGTGGTGGTACAGTGGTATAGCACTCGGCTTTGCATCACGCGGGCGGAGGTTCGAGTCCCAGCAGGGGTCATTTCGAACTTTCATGTATATAAAAGAGAAGCCTGTGCGATATTCAAGTTTATATAACAAGTCTGAAGTGTTGAATTCCTTAGTGTCACTCCATTTAAGGTTTAAAGTTTCAGTTGAGTACCAGTTAGGTACCAAGTCTATCTTACTGTGAACATCCGTGATCAAGTTGGTAGAGAAACGTTCTTGGAGTTCCATTATGACCGGGAGAAGAAACATTAGAACGTGTTTCTTAAAAGTTTCTTAAAGAACGTGAGTTCTTTAAGAAACTTTCTTAAGGAACGCGAGTTTTTTAAGAAACTTTCTTTTTCGTGTTTTTGCCTAAATGTGAGGTCTGGATTCTCGTTCCCACCCTTAGAGTCCCTGCTGGGTACAGGTCTTGACCTTTCTTGACCTTTCTTCATCGTTCTTGACCTTTCTTGATCATTCTTGATCTTTCTTGACCTTTCTTGATCTTTCTTGATCTTTCTTGACCTTTCTTGACCTTTCTTGATCTTTCTTGATCTTTCTTGAACTTTCTTGACCTTTCTTGATCTTTCTTGACCTTTCTTCATCGTTCTTGACCTTTCTTGATCTTTCTTGAACTTTCTTGACCTTTCTTGATCTTTCTTGACCTTTCTTGATCTTTCTTGATCTTTCTTGAACTTTCTTGACCTTTCTTGATCTTTCTTGACCTTTCTTCATCGTTCTTGACCTTTCTTGATCTTTCTTGAACTTTCTTGACCTTTCTTGATCTTTCTTGACCTTTCTTGATCTTTCTTGATCTTTCTTGATCTTTCTTGACCTTTCTTGATCTTTCTTGATCTTTCTTGATCTTTCTTGATCTTTCTTGACCTTTCTTGATCTTTCTTGATCTTTCTTGATCTTCCTTGATCTTTCTTGATCTTTCTTGACCTTTCTTTACCTCTCTTTACCTCTCTTGATCTTTCTTGACCTTTCTTGATCTTCCTTGATCTTTCTTGACCTTTCTTGATCTTTCTTGACCATTCTTGACCTTTCTTGACCATTCTTGACCTTTCTCGATCTTTCTTAACTATTCTTGACCATTCTTGATATTTGTTGACCTTTCTTGAGCTTCCTTTATATTTCTTGACCTTTTTCGACCTTGCAGGTGCCCGGGTGTGCCGTGGGATATAACCAGGCTATTCACGAGAAACAACACCTTTCTGACTACCGCCTCTCACACAGTCTAAGGTCACGACCGTTCCTCAGGTCTGGGAGGGAAATAATATATCTGATTGAAGAGTTTGTCTGTTTATTCTTGTTCTACATATAGATTGCAATCATTCGCCTCGTTGTCTCCAGTTTGTAAATATAAACTAACTTCATCACATATATTTTATTTTATTATATTTATAATATATATTTTAATATATTTATAATATATTTATAATATATATTTTAATATATTCATAATACATATTTTAATATATTTTAATATATTTATAATATATATATTTTAATATATTTAAAATACAAATATAATTTTTTTTTAATATATTCGCATGTTAGATAACAAGTGATAACAAGTTAGATAAGAAGATAACAAAACAAATTTCAATTTTCCAAAATATCCTGACCCATACTTTTTTGTTGTTCTTAAAGAGGCATGTTGCAGTGTATGTTGCAGCATGACGTGGCATGTTGTAGCATGACGTGGCATGTTGCAGTGTATGTTGCAGCATGACGTGGCATGTTGCAGTGTATGTTGCAGCATGACGTGGCATGTTGTTGTGTGTGTTGCAGCATGACGTGGCATGTTGCAGTGTATGTTGCAGCATGACGTGGCATGTTGCAGTGTATGTTGCAGCATGACGTGGCATGTTGCAGCGTATGTTGCAGCATGACGTGGTATGTTGCAGCATGACGTGGCATGTTGCAGTGTATGTTGCAGCATGACGTGGCATGTTGCAGTGCATGTTGCAGCATGACGTGGCATGTTGCAGTGTATGTTGCAGCATGACGTGGCATGTTGCAGCATGACGTGGCATGTTGCTGTGTATGTTGCAGCATGACGTGGCATGTTGCTGTGTATGTTGCAGCATGACGTGGCATGTTGCAATGTATGTTGCAGCATGACGTGGCATGTTGCAGTGTATGTTGCAGCATGACGTGGCATGTTGCAGTGTATGTTGCAGCATGACGTGGCATGTTGCAGCATGACGTGGCATGTTGCAGCATGACGTGGCATGTTGCAGTGTATGTTGCAGCATGACGTGGCATGTTGCAGTGTATGTTGCAGCATGACGTGGCATGTTGCAGTGCATGTTGCAGTATGACGTGGCATGTTGCAGTGTATGTTGCAGCATGACGTGGCATGTTGCAGTGTATGTTGCAGCATGACGTGGCATGTTGCAGCATGACGTGGCATGTTGCAGCATGACGTGGCATGTTGCAGTGTATGTTGCAGCATGACGTGGCATGTTGCAGCATGACGTGGCATGTTGTTGTGTGTGTTGCAGCATGACGTGGCATGTTGCAGCATGACGTGGCATGTTGCTGTGTATGTTGCAGCATGACGTGGCATGTTGCTGTGTATGTTGCAGCATGACGTGGCATGTTGCAGTGTATGTTGCAGCATGACGTGGCATGTTGCAGTGTATGTTGCAGCATGACGTGGCATGTTGCAGTGTATGTTGCAGCATGACGTGGCATGTTGCAGTGTATGTTGCAGCATGACGTGGCATGTTGCAGTGTATGTTGCAGCATGACGTGGCATGTTGCAGTGCATGTTGCAGCATGACGTGGCATGTTGCAGTGTATGTTGCAGCATGACGTGGCATGTTGCTGTGTATGTTGCAGCATGACGTGGCATGTTGCTGTGTATGTTGCAGCATGACGTGGCATGTTGCAGTGTATGTTGCAGCATGACGTGGCATGTTGCAGTGTATGTTGCAGCATGACGTGGCATGTTGCAGTGTATGTTGCAGCATGACGTGGCATGTTGCAGTGTATGTTGCAGCATGACGTGGCATGTTGCAGTGCATGTTGCAGCATGACGTGGCATGTTGCAGTGTATGTTGCAGCATGACGTGGCATGTTGCAGTGTATTTTGCAGCATGACGTGGCATGTTGCAGTATGACGTGGCATGTTGCAGTGTATGTTGCAGCATGACGTGGCATGTTGCAGTGTATGTTTCAGCATGACGTGGCATGTTGCAGCATGACGTGGCATGTTGCAGCATGACGTGGCATGTTGCAGTGTATGTTGCAGCATGCCGTGGCATGTTGCAGCATGACGTGGCATGTTGTTGTGTGTGTTGCAGCATGACGTGGCATGTTGCAGCATGACGTGGCATGTTGCTGTGTATGTTGCAGCATGACGTGGCATGTTGCTGTGTGTGTTGCAGCATGACGTGGCATGTTGCTGTGCATGTTGCAGCATGACGTGGCATGTTGCTGTGTATGTTGCAGCATGACGTGGCATGTTGCAGTGTATGTTGCAGCATGACGTGGCATGTTGCAGTGTATGTTGCAGCATGACGTGGCATGTTGCAGTGTATGTTGCAGCATGGCGTGGCATGTTGCAGCATGACGTGGCATGTTGCAGTGCATGTTGCAGCATGACGTGGCATGTTGCAGTGTATGTTGCAGCATGACGTGGCATGTTGCAGTGTATGTTTCAGCATGACGTGGCATGTTGCAGCATGACGTGGCATGTTGCAGCATGACGTGGCATGTTGCAGTGTATGTTGCAGCATGACGTGGCATGTTGCAGCATGACGTGGCATGTTGTTGTGTGTGTTGCAGCATGACGTGGCATGTTGCAGCATGACGTGGCATATTGCTGTGTATGTTGCAGCATGACGTGGCATGTTGCTGTGTGTGTTGCAGCATGACGTGGCATGTTGCTGTGTATGTTGCAGCATGACGTGGCATGTTGCAGCATGACGTGGCATGTTGCAGTGTATGTTTCAGCATGACGTGGCATGTTGCAGCATGACGTGGCATGTTGCAGCATGATGTGGCATGTTGCAGCATGACGTGGCATGTTGCAGTGTATGTTTCAGCATGACGTGGCATGTTTCAGCATGACGTGGCATGTTGCAGCATGACGTGGCATGTTGCAGCATGACGTGGCATGTTGCAGTGTATGTTGCAGCATGACGTGGCATGTTGCTGTGTATGTTGCAGCATGACGTGGCATGTTGTTGTGTGTGTTGCAGCATGACGTGGCATGTTGCAGTGTATGTTTCAGCATGACGTGGCATGTTGCAGCATGGCGTGGCATGTTGCTGTGTATGTTGCAGCATGACGTGGCATGTTGCAGTGTATGTTTCAGCATGACGTGGCATGTTGCAGCATGACGTGGCATGTTGCAGTGTATGTTTCAGCATGACGTGGCAAGTTTCAGCATGACGTGGCATGTTGCAGCATGACGTGGCATGTTGCAGTGTATGTTGTAGCATGACGTGGCATGTTACAGCATGACGTGGCATGTTGCTGTGTATGTTGCAGCATGACGTGGCATGTTGTTGTGTGTGTTGCAGCATGACGTGGCATGTTGCAGCATGACGTGGCATGTTGCTGTGTATGTTGCAGCATGACGTGGCATGTTGTTGTGTGTGTTGCAGCATGACTTGGCATGTTGCTGTGTATGTTGCAGCATGACGTGGCATGTTGCTGTGTATGTTGCAGCATGACGTGGCATGTTGCTGTGTGTGTTGCAGCATGACGTGGCATGTTGCTGTGTATGTTGCAGCATGACGTGACATGTTGCAGCATGACATGGCATGTTGCTGTGTATGTTGCAGCATGACATGGCATGTTGCTGTGTATGTTGCTGTGTGTGTTGCAGCATGACTTGGCATGTTGCAGTGTGTGTTGCAGCATGACGTGGCATGTTGCTGTGTGTGTTGCAGCATGACGTGGCATGTTGCAGTGTGTGTTGCAGCATGACGTGGCATGTTGCAGTGTGTGTTGCAGCATGACGTGGCATGTTGCTGTGTGTGTTGCAGCATGACGTGGCATGTTGCAGTGTGTGTTGCAGCATGACGTGGCATGTTGCTGTGTGTGTTGCAGCATGACGTGGCATGTTGCAGTGTGTGTTGCAGCATGACGTGGCATGTCGCTGTGTGTGTTGCAGCATGACGTGGCATGTTGCTGTGTGTGTTGCAGCATGACGTGGCATGTTGCAGTGTATGTTGCATCATGACGTGGCATGTTGCAGCATGACGTGGCATGTTGCAGCATGACGTGGCATGTTGCAGCATTTCACCCCTCAGATGGTACCTTGTGTTCAGCCTCCTGCTCCCTTCACCTAATTTCATCACCTTACACTTTCCTCAGTTGAACTTTAGTAGCCATTTTCTAGACCATTCCTCCACTTTGTCCAGGTCGTCTTTGTTTACATTTAGTAAACAGTTTACAAGCTGAGAAGCACTATACGAGGTTATCTTGAGATGATTTCGGGGCTTTAGTGTCCCCGCGGCCCGGTTCTCGACCAGGCCTCCACCCCTAGGAGGCAGCCCGTGACAGCTGACTATCACCCAGGTACCTATTTTACTGCTAGGTAACAGGGGCATAGGGGTGAAAGAAACTCTGCCCATTGTTTCTCGCCGGCGCCCGGGATCGAACCCGGGACGACAGGATCACAAGTCCAGCGTGCTGTCCGCTCGGCCGAAAAGCTCGCGTTATTGGTTGTTCATAACAATAACAACCCTGGGTGAAGAACAACCTAGTAGGAGTTCCCGGCTCGTAAACCCACGCCCGCTATGATCCAGGAGAGATGAACAGGTTTCGTAAGTGGACACGTAAGTGCCTGATGGCCCTTGACTATGTGACACTGTCCAACAGCCAATCCCCATGACCAAGAGCGGGCTGACGACCCGTCACTCCGCGTCACATTGTAAGTGGACGTACTTAAGCAGAAGCGAATGAACCTAAGCAACCCACCTAACCTAACCTAACCTAACCTACCCTAACCTAACCTAACATAACATAACCTAACCTAACCTAACCTAACCTAACCTAACCTAACCTAACCTACCCTAACCTAACCTAACATAACCTAACCTAACCTAACCTAACCTAACCTAACCTAACCTAACCTAACCTACCCTAACCTAACCTAACCTAACCTAACCTAACCTAACCTACCCTAACCTAACCTAACCTAACCTAACCTAACCTAACCTACCCTAACCTAACCTAACCTAACATAACCTAACCTAACCTAACCTAACCTAACCTAACCTAACCTAACCTACCCTAACCTAACCTAACCTAACCTAACCTAACCTAACCTAACCTAACCTACCCTAACCTAACCTAACCTAACCTAACCTAACCTACCCTAACCTAACCTAACCTAACCTAACCTACCCTAACCTACCCTAACCTAACCTAACCTAACCTAACCTACCCTAACCTACCCTAACCTAACCTAACCTAACCTACCCTAACCTACCCTAACCTACCCTACCCTAACCTAACCTAACCTACCCTAACCTACCCTAACCTACCCTAACCTAACCTAACCTACCCTAACCTAACCTAACCTACCCTAACCTAACCTAACCTAACCTAACCTACCCTAACCTAACCTAACCTAACCTAACCTAACCTAACCTAACCTAACCTAACCTACCCTAACCTAACCTAACCTAACCTACCCTAACCTAACCTAACCTACCCTACCCTAACCTAACCTAACCCAACCTACCCTAACCTAACCTAACCTAACCTCTCGGTGCCAGTGCTCATTACTCTGAGAAAACGTCACTATTGAGGCGCTTGTGAGCATAAGCGTACGAGTGAGGTACAATGATAAAATTTGATGACTGGGATTGGGTGGGTATGAATAGGAGCAGCATCCTATGGGCCAATAGGCCTTCTGCAGTTACCTTTGTTCTTATGTTCTTATTGGGCCAAACATGGATAATAATAGCATAAGATAGATAATATTAACAATGAATTAGTGAGACAAATGTGTTGTCAATGATCCTACTCAAATCGCCCTTTATTAACTGATCTATCAAAAATGGATCTAAATTATATAAATCACAGCTAATGTTCAAATTACATGATTTTGTAATCTGTATTAAAGCAGGTTCAATTATGTTCCTATTGAAAGTGATTTTATAATTCCCTATTGAAGAAGTCATCTCCCAATCAATTTGGTGAGCATCTTCTGACAAATGAGCAAATAAAACATTAGACAATTGGTCATGTCTTACAGAGTATTTATGTTGCGAAATTCTAACTTTCAAATCTTTAGATGTTTGCCCAACATAGAACTTATTACAGTCTTTACAAGGTATTTATAAATGATACAATTATCACTATATATATATATATATATATATATATATATATATATATATATATATATATATATATATATATATATATATATATATATAACTGAAAACTCACACCCCAGAAGTGACTCGAACCCATACTCCCAGATGCCACGCAACTGGTATGTACAAGACGCCTTAATCCACTTGACCATCACGACCGGACATAATGAGGTGATAGCCGAGGCTATTTGAACCACCCCACCGCCGGCACTCGGATAGTAATCTTGGGCATAGCATTTTACCAAATCACCTCATTCTTTGGGGCACACGTGAGGAACACAAATGCGAACAAGCCTGAATGGTCCCCAGGACAATATGCAACTGAAAACTCACACCCCAGAAGTGACTCGAACCCATACTCCCAGATGCCACGCAACTGGTATGTACAAGACGCCTTAATCCACTTGACCATCACGACCGGACATAATGAGGTGATTGCCGAGGCTATTTGAACCACCCCACCGCCGGCACTCGGATAGTAATCTTGGGCATAGCATTTTACCAAATCACCTCATTCTTTGGGGCACACGTGAGGAACACAAATGCGAACAAGCCTGAATGGTCCCCAGGACAATATGCAACTGAAAACTCACACCCCAGAAGTGACTCGAACCCATACTCCCAGATGCCACGCAACTGGTATGTACAAGACGCCTTAATCCACTTGACCATCACGACCGGACATAATGAGGTGATAGCCGAGGCTATTTGAACCACCCCACCGCCGGCACTCGGATAGTAATCTTGGGCATAGCATTTTACCAAATCACCTCATTCTTTGTATGGGTTCGAGTCACTTCTGGGGTGTGAGTTTTCAGTTGCATATTGTCCTGGGGACCATTCAGGCTTGTTCGCATTTGTGTTCCTCACGTGTGCCCCAAAGAATGAGGTGATTTGGTAAAATGCTATGCCCAAGATTACTATCCGAGTGCCGGCGGTGGGGTGGTTCAAATAGCCTCGGCTATCACCTCATTATGTCCGGTCGTGATGGTCAAGTGGATTAAGGCGTCTTGTACATACCAGTTGCGTGGCATCTGGGAGTATGGGTTCGAGTCACTTCTGGGGTGTGAGTTTTCAGTTGCATATTGTCCTGGGGACCATTCAGGCTTGTTCGCATATATATATATATATATATATATATATGTATATATGTATGTGCGAAAACAGCGAACATTAAGTTGGAATTTTACAATGACAATGAAAGTGAGGCCTTAGCAAAGATATTTTTTTTTAATGAACAACTCTGATAGGGATTAGTACCTGTACTTAATTGTTTATTCTGGACAAAAGCCTGTCTGGCAATTAAAGGATTACCAGTCTGACCAGCCGGGAGGATATTGTTAGCACTGGTACACACACATGACTGTGTACAGGTGTGTGTGTGTGTGTGTGCTCGCATGGTTGTACACACACACACATGACTGTGTACAGGTGTGTGTGTGTGTGTGCTCGCATGGTTGTACACACACACATGACTGTTTACAGGTGTGTGTGTGTGTGTGTGCTCGCATGGTTGTACACACACACACATGACTGTGTACAGGTGTGTGTGTGTGTGTGTGCTCGCATGGTTGTACACACACACACACATGACTGTGTACAGGTGTGTGTGTGTGTGTGTGCTCGCATGGTTGTACACACACACACATGACTGTGTACAGGTGTGTGTGTGTGTGTGCTCGCATGGTTGTACACACACACACATGACTGTGTACAGGTGTGTGTGTGTGTGCTCGCATGGTTGTACACACACACACACATGACTGTGTACAGGTGTGTGTGTGTGTGTGTGCTCGCATGGTTGTACACACACACACATGACTGTGTACAGGTGTGTGTGTGTGTGTGTGCTCGCATGGTTGTACACACACACATGACTGTGTACAGGTGTGTGTGTGTGTGTGCTCGCATGGTTGTACACACACACACACATGACTGTGTACAGGTGTGTGTGTGCTCGCATGGTTGTACACACACACACATGACTGTGTACAGGTGTGTGTGTGTGTGCTCGCATGGTTGTACACACACACACATGACTGTGTACAGGTGTGTGTGTGTGTGTGTGCTCGCATGGTTGTACACACACACACATGACTGTGTACAGGGTGTGTGTGTGTGTGTGCTCGCATGGTTGTACACACACACACATGACTGTGTACAGGTGTGTGTGTGTGTGTGTGCTCGCATGGTTGCACACACACACACATGACTGTGTACAGGTGTGTGTGTGTGGGTTCGCATGGTTGTACACACACACACACATGACTGTGTACAGGTGTGTGTGTGTGCTCGCATGGTTGTACACACACACACATGACTGTGTACAGGTGTGTGTGTGTGTGTGTGCTCGCATGGTTGTACACACACACACATGACTGTGTACAGGTGTGTGTGTGTGTGTGCTCGCACGGTTGTACACACACACACACATGACTGTGTACAGGTGTGTGTGTGTGTGCTCGCATGGTTGTACACACACACACATGACTGTGTACAGGTGTGTGTGTGTGTGTGTGGTCGCATGGTTGTACACACACACACATGACTGTGTACAGGTGTGTGTGTGTGTGTGTGCTCGCATGGTTGTACACATACACATGACTGTGTACAGGTGTGTGTGTGTGTGTGCTCGCATGGTTGTACACACACACACACATGACTGTGTACAGGTGTGTGTGTGTGTGTGTGTGCTCGCATGGTTGTACACACACACACATGACTGTGTACAGGTGTGTGTGTGTGTGTGTGTGCTCGCATGGTTGTACACACACACACACACATGACTGTGTACAGGTGTGTGTGTGTGTGTGTGCTCGCATGGTTGTACACACACACACACATGACTGTGTACAGGTGTGTGTGTGTGTGTGTGTGTGCACCTAATTGTACTCACCTAATTGTGCTTGCGGGGGTTGAGCTTTGGCTCTTTGGTCCCGCCTCTCAACTGTCAATCAACTGGTGTACAGGTTCCTGAGCCTACTGGGCTCTATCATATCTACATTTGAAACTGTGTATGGAGTCAGCCTCCACCACATCACTGCCTAATGCATTCCATTTATTAACTACTCTGACACTGAAAAAATTCTTTCTAACGTCTCTGTGGCTCATCTGGGTACTAAGTTTCCACCTGTGTCCCCTTGTTCGTGTCCCACCCGTGCTGAAGAGTTTGTCTTTGTCCACCCTGTCAATTCCCCTGAGAATTTTGTAGGTGGTTATCATGTCTCCCCTTACTCTTCTGTTTTCCAGGGACGTGAGGTTCAGCTCCTTTAGCCTTTCCTCGTAGCTCATTCCTCTCAGTTCCGGGACGAGCCTGGTGGCATACCGCTGAATCTTCTCTAACTTTGTCTTGTGTTTAACTAGGTATGGACTCCAGGCTGGAGCTGCATATTCCAGGATTGGTCTGACATAAGTGGTATACAGGGTCCTGAACGATTCCTTACACAAGTTTCTAAAGGCAGTTCTTATGTTGGCCAGTCTAGCATATGCCGCTGATGATATCCTTTTGATGTGGGCCTCTGGGGACAGGTTCGGTGTGATATCAACCCCCAGATCTTTCTCTCTATTTGACTCTTGCAGGATTTCACCTCCCAGATGGTACCTTGTGTTCAGCCTCCTGCTCCCTTCGCCTAATTTCATTACTTTACACTTTCCTGAGTTGAACTTTAGCAGCCATTTTCTAGACCATTCCTCCAGTTTGTCCAGGTCATCCTGTAGTCTCTGTCTATCTTCATCCGTCTTGATTCTTCTCATAATTTTTGCATCATCAGCAAACATTGAGAGGAATGAGTCTATACCCTCCGGAAGATCGTTTACATATATTAGAAACAGGATGGGTCCAAGTACTGAGCCCTGTGGGACTCCGCTGGTGACATCTCGCCACTCTGATGTCTCCCCCCTCACCGTTACTCGCTGTTTCCTGTTGCTTAAGTACTCCCTTATCCACTGGAGCACCTTCCCTTTTACTCCTGCCTGTTGCTCCAACTTTTTTAACAGCCTTTTATGGGGTACTGTGTCAAAGGCTTTCTGGCAGTCCAGGAAAATGCAGTCGGCCCACCCTTCTCTTTCCTGCCTAATTTTTGTTGCCTGGTCATAGAATTCTATTAAACCTGTGAGGCACGATTTACCATCTCTGAACCCATGTTGGTGGTGCGTTACAAAGCTATTTCCCTCCAGATGCTCTACGAGCCTTTTCCTCACGATCTTCTCCATCACCTTGCATGGTATACAAGTTAAGGAAACTGGCCTGTAGTTCAGTGCCTCTTACATTTGTTAATCATCCTCATATAGTTGAGCTTACAGGGTCGATCATCTACTCTTAAGCTTCATTGATCATCTGCTTCATTGATCATCTGTTCATTGATCATCTCCTTCATTGATCATCTGCTTCATTGATCATCTGCTTCATTGATCATCAGCTTCATTGATCATCTGCTTCATTGATCATCTGCTTCACTGATCATCTGCTTCACTGATCATCTGCTTCATTGATCATCTGCTTCATTGATCATCTGCTTCACTGATCATCTACTTCACTGATCATCTGCTTCATTGATCATCTGCTTCATTGATCATCTGCTTCATTGATCATCTGCTTCATTGATCATCTGCTTCAGTGATCAACTGCTTCATTGATCATCTGCTTCATTGATCATCTGCTTCACTGATCATCTGCTTCATTGATCATCTGCTTCATTGATCATCTGCTTCACTGATCATCTGCTTCATTGATCATCTGCTTCATTGATCATCTGCTTCATTGATCATCTGCTTCATTGATCATCTGCTTCATTGATCATCTGCTTCAGTGATCAACTGCTTCATTGATCATCTGCTTCACTGATCATCTGCTTCACTGATCATCTGCTTCATTGATCATCTACTTCACTGATCATCTGCTTCACTGATCATCTGCTTCATTGATCATCTGCTTCATTGATCATTTCTTCACTGCGATGAAGACATGAACAAACTTATTGTTCATATTTATATTTAAAGTTGTGTATGGAACCAATCTTTGACAACTTATTCGTTCAGTTCGTTCCACTTATTGACGACACTTAAATCTGTGTCTGAGAGTCATGTCACTCATCTGTGTTTCCAGGTTCGTCTGCTCGTTCCACGCTTCCTGAAGTTGTGCATTTGCTTCTATATCTAATTTGTTAATCACCCCCTCACTATCTCCTACGTCGTGATCATATCCACCCGATTTCTTCATTCCTACAGGATAGTGAAGTCCGGGTTCCCTCAGTTTTTCTTCAT